TTATCTCTATTACCTTTCTCTTAGGCTGGAAACAATTCATCTTTCAGTTATTTTAGGTGTAAATGAATACAATGAGAGGACTTAGCAGTAAAATTAACTAACATGCAAGATAATGCTGGATTTTTTTAAACTTCCAGTAATAATTAAAGTATTTTGATGGCTACACTTGACTGCTAATTTATAATTAACTTCAGGTGCTTCTTTGATCTTGCTGATACATTTTTTTCCATTTTCTTATCAAGAGTCTCCATACAGTCTGTAATTACACTTCTTAGTGTGGCAATGACTTTGAATAAGTAGATGCATTACTACGTGCTTTGGGAAAATATCATTTGAGCTAAAGCAAGCTCTTACCACTGAGCTGGAGTATCATCTGAAGCACTGCTGATTAAAAACATAATATTATATAAACTCATAATAGATTTGCCATAAAAATAAAACAACAATTCTCAAGGTAATAAATGACAAGAACAGTAAAATTAGAACCTTCCCAACAAATATTAAGGCATTCAGAGAATTAACATCACAAAACTACAAAATACAAGTAACATGTTTGATATTTGTTTAGGCCTCTTTCTCTAAAGAGGAAGATAGTGCATTTTTTTCTAAATAATGAAATAGTGAACTAAAACATTTTTTTAAGTGTTAAAAGCTCTTATAACACAGCGATACAGTCTAACCTACCTGAAGCAACAAATACATACATAATGCAACAGTGCAGGGCAGTATAACTCATTTCCTCAGCTAAAGGAACAATCTGTAATTCTCAGAAGACAAACTCTTATCTCATATTTTTAACACATAAATAAGACATGCACCAGCAACAAGATAATTGAGATCCTCATGTTAACCACTTTTTGCCTGTGAAATGTTGGACAAAAACTGCCATGGAGGTGCTAGGGGCAGTTCTGCGAACACAGCAGTCTACACCTACAAATTGGGACCGGTATGACGTCTCCAGTCAGGACATGTGTTTTTCACCAATACACTGCTACAAAGCTCAATAATGACCACAATGATAATGACTGATATAAAATATACTTTACACAACATTTCTTTCTACAAGCAAAGTCTGACTGCTACAGAACAGTTCCTGCAACCTCAACAGCTCACAACACAGATGACTACGCACGCACAAACATGACTGGCTAGTCAGAAAGGATAAGGGGGAGGTTAGTATTACTGTAACTATACAGTTACCTTGGTACAACCTTCTCGTGAATAAAGGTTAAGATGATTAAATTGTCACATGTGTTTTGTGGTATCATTTCACAAACTCATCTTTTTTAATTCATTGCTAAACAACTTAGCAGCATGGCTACATGCAAATCCTGACATACTGCCCAATTATTTTTTCAACTTAAACGACCTCCCTGCTTTAGGGCTTCCTTCCTTCAAATCAATGAGTGTGACAGCACTTGAAAAACCCATGAACCTCTGGGCTCTGAAAAAAGGGTAACATCAAGATGCATGTCATTTGTGTGTTCATACTGAACAATATCAGTATCCATCCTGCCCAACCTCTCCTACCAGGTTCTGAGAGACACTGCAGAGACAAGACTTCACAGCATTAGCTGTCAAGTTCCTTTCTGAAAGGAAGAAACACGTCTGATACACTAGCACTAGCTCCCTTCCACTTCTGCCTCCTTCACAGTAAAAATAGAAGTAAACTAAAAAACAAGGAAGGAGTCAGAGAGAAACAGCTCAATTTTGACTGCTTAATCATTGTCTGGATTGCTCCCATTTATTGTGGCTCCCCAAAATAGTCACAGAATCGTGGTCAAGAAGTACTACTTGATGAAAAATAAAAATACTTCAATGAACCTGGGCTCAGTTCAGCAAAACACTCCAGGATACGCTTTTGGCTCACTGAGGACAATGGGTATCAAACACATACCTGAAGTCCTATATGTATGGATATACATAGCTCCTCATAGCAAGTAGCTAAGTGCATTTTCCTGTGAGCTGCACTGGCTCATTTACTCTTCTTATCCAACACAGTCATTCTCTGAAATTGGAAAGAAAAGTTGGTCCTTGAATCTACCTAATTTATAGTTTGAGTAAGTGCACTTCCTGTTCTTTTGGGTGAACAGACCTAATAAAAATGGTATCTTTATATATCTATTAATAAGGTATCTGTAAAGAAATACCACTTACAAAAAGAACTGATAAAAACTTTCCTCTATCCCAATGACTCCAGATCAAAACTATACAGAGAAAACCTGTTAAAAGAGAAAAAGATCAAGTCTAAACCTGTTAGGCAAATGAAACTAGCCAATAGGAAAATGATAAAATACTGGAAGAACTATTATAAAAATACATCTCAAACTCCCAGCTAGATGAATACATATTTTAATACTGCTTGATGAAGTGTGCTGTCTCTCAGTTCTCTTCTATTACTTAGTATGTATAATGAAATTATTTTCAGGAATAAATCTGTTCACCCAAGTGTTCATTTTTCATTGGCATGCACATCCTAACAGTTCATCTTTGTTGTATGAAGGAAATTTGTTTTATTCCCCAAAGTTTGGAGCTGGAACCTAGTGCTTTATTTAATGCCATATTATACATGTAGAAGCAGTTTCCCCATCATTCTTATATACTGGCCCCTAGTCTCTTTACCAAAGAAGGTACTGGTGATGGTAGACAGCAGCCCTCTTTGCTGCATCCTACCATTTGCTTGTCCCATAACTTTTAATCTTTGGAAACTTTTATCTGTTCCCTAGCAGAAAGTATGCAGCCCAAGAAAACCTGCTATTAGAAATGCCCTTTTTCCAGAGTCTAATCAGGAATATCTTTTATCAAGTTGTGTGTGACCATTACCTCGATATAAAATAATTGTAGTAATACCTTAAGTTTATAATATTTCAATACTGATAGTTTAATAAATATACATTTTATTATAGTAATTTTAATAATTTAATCATTTTAAATTGTGTTAATTTTTCTTTTATTTTCATAAAATATGTTGATTCCTTATCAAATGCAAACAGGTATGATTTAGCAGTTAATGACCTAGGCCATAGTCATTCTTCACGATTAGGCCTTATATTTTAAAGAGCAAAGGAGTGTGGTCCTCATGGGCACGTATTTTTAACACAACCCTTAGGAAAATTAGGCCCATTAAACCAATGTATAATGTCTAAGTTAATAATGTAATGCATACATGTAATGCATACAAGTCTTTTGTAAAAAAAAAAAAAAAAAGTACATGAAGAACAAGCACATGCACATCTGCTATTTGCAAATCACCTACTTATTTCACGTGTTTTGTTTTTGTCTGTCTGTCTGTTTGTTCTTATTATTACTACTGTTATTCTACTGTTATTCTCATGCTCCTTGTATCACCTAAATAAACTGCCTCTACCAGGAAAACTTTATCCAGTTATGTCTGCTGGCCCCAGCAGAAAAACATCTCACTTCCATGGAGTGGAAAGATCAAGCAATCAGTTCTACTTACTAAAACATCATCCCTCTCACCTTCATCCATCACTAGCCTTACAGTAACTTTCCTTGCAGTGGGCCAACCACCATTGGGAGCTTTCATTATCATAAACACATACCATGCTTTGCATAAATATTGCCAACCACAGACCTAGTTTCCTAGTAACTTATTAGGCATGTCATGTTAGCTAATCTGCCATAAAATATTATCCCCTACAGGGATTAAAAGAAAGACATGTTACTGCTGTGAAAGTATGAACAAGAAAAGTAGTGATTCCCTGACAGGCCTGAATGGCTTTTGTACGTTCAGCAACAATAATGTATGGAAAGCAGAGCCTCTATGCACTACTTGAGCTAGAATATGGCAGTCTATCACATTAAAAATGTCTGTGTCTCTAGACAGCAAATGTAAGTACTTTACCCTCCTGCTTCCAATCTCAAAGCCAAGCAAAAGGCTTGGTTGTAAAACACTGGACTTCATTTGGGGAAAGACTGGACACAAAGTTGAATAAGCACAAAATTATTCAGAAACACTTCTGGATTTCTGTGTCTTGTATTTCTTCTACTGACGTTAGTAAATCCCTTGTATGTGTCAGCTATCTAAATATATTTTAATCTATAAAATTCACTGAACACCATGGCATTTCCATTTCTTATCTATTAATAAGGATAGTAGAAGAATTGAAGTATACAGGGCAAGTTCTTCTTCTGGCAGACTCTGGCTATTAGGGAGAGTAACACTTATTTAATGATATGGCTATATGAACTACTAGCTATTTTCACAGTTTAACTGCCAGAATGAGTAAACCAGATACTTTTGAAGAAGGAATTAAAGGTCCATTTGCTGAGCTGAAGGCACTTAGTATTCCTGCCATATAATATCTTATTAGAAAGACCGGTAAAGGATAACAATTGTTAGACACTGTTCTTATTTCAAAGTTTGATCTGTTATAAATACTTCAAGTTACTTTTCTGTCTCAAAAGACTTTGAAGTTACAAAGATTCTGTCAGAGACAATAATGATATATCTTCCAAATACCAAAGTCACTTATGAACCTGAAAGGTAGAAGGTTATGTGACATGGGAGACTGACATCACAAATGTTTCCTGTATGAAGTACGGTTCCATTTGGGATGGATCTTTTAGTCAAACAGGGCAATCAGAGTGATAGTGCTGTTACCACATCACCCCACTGTTTGAATAATTTCTAACAACGTAAAATTTCTGCCCCCCAGTGTTATCACCCAGCAAGGCTTGGAATAACTTGAACATCTACTGACACTAATCTCAATTATAATAACCTCAGTGAGGATCCCTCAGAATTGTTTCATTTGTTTGGTTGATTTTTAATCTATTAGTGAGGTTACCCATTCATTCCAAGTCATTTCAGCCATTTAACTGAGGCATGCAAGTTGAGGATGCAGCCCGAGCTAGAGTGTCCTTCTACAAGATAAGTTTGCAGTGCTACAGGCTACAAAAATGCTGATAAAAAATGTATCTGTATTCTGCTTGGTGATGTACATTTACACCTCTCATTGAAACCAAACATCTCAGATAAGGCATGCAATATACCAAGCAGTTTCTTCCTACCCTTTGAATATACTACTACTACTACTAATAATAAATTACTATTGTCATTTTGTAGGGCTTGCTTTTGAATCTTCTTCCTTGCAAGCAGGGCAGGTGTGCAGAATGCCTGAGGGAATGCAGAGGTCCTCTCTGCACATTACGTTATTTCTGGAGGTAAAATATATGATTTTGCCTTAGGATATCCATGCATAACTCAGCCTCCTCTGTGCTTCTACCATGCCTCCTCACATGTCTAACTCCTACACATTTCTGGAATCTGCTTGGTTTGAGTGAGCTCCTTTTTGGTCCTCTCTAACAGATCACAGAGAGCAGAGATAATGCATCACTCTTGTAAATTAATTACATTAACAGATAAAGAGTGGAATGATATCAAGAAGCATGCATGTACCTCACTCTGAAATCACCTAAGCCAAGAGACGCTTTCCTTGCACAAATGGAGTCTCTGTTCCTGAAAAAGCCTTAGGCAAAGCCTGCTCAAACTGCTGGGTCCCCTTGTATGTACTCAGTGGCTGCCTTATTTATGAAGTCAGTTGGCAAACAGTGGCAGCTCAGCAGCGCTGGGAACGCTCCATGCAGTCGCTTTTTTACACCCTGTAGCCTCTGGTTCCACTCTCAGTGTTAGCGTTGCTATTCTGTGTTCCTGCTTCCTTATGATTGCCTCTCTACCCACACCACCAAATCAGCACGTACCAGATCACAGGATTTATTTTTAAAATCCTTTCAAAACTACACTCACCTTGCAAGAAATAATCCTGCTCTGGTCATTGAATATCCAGGCTGATCTTTGTATACATGTGGCCAGGCAAGAGAACGTGATTACTTCAACCAGGAGATCCTCACATGCTCTAAAGCTGTGAGACCACATCTGGTCAGTCTGCTTCTGCCAAACCAACCATTTGTTACATGTAACTACTGTTTTAAGGGGCACTCTACAACTTTGCTTCTGAAATTTAGCATTTTACCTTTTCCAGATAAGAATTTATGTTATAAAATGTAACATCAAAAATGCACTTTCCTTTCAGGCCAGATTCCTGCATTTAGTGCATAATTTACCACTGTAATAGCACTACTTAGTTTTCCTGAGGGCCAGGGAAAGAAAGCACAAATGGTAAGAATGCTAGTGTAGCTAGTAAAACAATTAACAATAAACAATAGTGTGGCACAATTTATCTACTTTAGTAGGAGAAAGCATGGGCGGGGGGGAGAGGGGGAGGATTATGATTTAATACTTGCCAAATGGTGACTCTTTTGTTTTTTATCCTAAGGCTTTTCTTACATTGCAAGAGACTTTTACAAGGTGAGACAGGATCTTTAGTCAAACTTTAACTACAGGACATCAAACTACAAGCTGAGGAAAACGGAGAAATTACATGACAACACTACCAATTCTTTTTGCAAAAGACCTGAAGAATCTCATTTCAAATGAGATGTCAATCCTGTAATTAGCAATTCAGTCAGCATTAATTGTGTGTATCTTACTTCACATCTATCACTGTCATTTTCATGTACTCAGGATGTTTTATAGAACCTGATTTGTAAACAATACACAAATGTTTAATCCACTTTAAATTGAAATTGTCAAACATCTAGCAAAATCTGGTCAATAGAGATAACTGTGTGAGATTGTGTTTTGGTTCGTAAGTAGGAAAAGGAATGTTTTGCTAATTGTTTCTGTACGTAGACTTTTAAAATTCTAGTAGGTCCTATGGGAAAACAAGCGTGTATTAATTGCCAAAACATTGTAACCAACCTGTAACACTTACTTGTCAAGAATAAAAAACAAATATTGAAAAAACAGGAGTATCAATTTGAATCAGTCAAAACTCATTCAAGCAATTCATACTTTATGAAGCAGTATCTATTCTTGATTTAAGGTGTTTCCAGGGAAGCATAATCCATGGCAATCCTTGGTAAATGTAGGTCCAATTAGTAAAAATATTTAATCTTCTGATTCTCAATTTGTCAGTTTCAAACGTCACAACTTTATTTTTGTCTAACAGACTTTGGGAAGCCCTCCATAGGAAAATTTTATTTCTTATATATTATGAGACTATTATATTTTTCATACAATTATAATAGAACCACCCTTTTACCTTTCATTGGATAGGTTAAGTAACTGGAACTCTTCCTTTTCAATACTTTTTTTTCCAAAGCTTTAAATAACCTGCTGGCTCTTCTCACTGATGATCAACAATCTTGTTGAATTGTGAACATTAGTCTTCCACTGGGAGACCTCTGAAAGTGCCAAATAGAACTCCTACTTAATATTCTCAGGATGACATGAAAACCTTTGCTGCACATTATATTCTCTCTCTCCTATAGACTAACTACTACTGAATCAAAATTAATTGTTCAGATATTGCTTGTGTGCCAGTTAAATATTACACTTAATATGGGCAGAAGGTTCCTTCGGTATGTCTCTCACTGTGAGATTAAGGAACACTGAAGCACAACGAACATCAGAATTTTTTCCATGTGGCTAAAAGAATGTCATGAAACTAAATAAATCACAAAACGTGACCCTGCCTTCAGTCTGTCTCCTCTGGAGAACTCAGCCCAGACCACGTTCTGTAACTCTTATGTGAAGCTGCCAAAATGCAAATTCCAAACTGGCTGCTGGCTTTCCTTTCACTTGAAATCATATTTAATCTAAAAAGCATATACATTGTACAGCTTAGACACTGGTTTGCGTAGATTTCAGGACTACAAGTCAATTAAGAGTTTTTAATAATCTTTCTTTTGTGATAAAAAATGATATTTAGGTATAAAAGTTGCCAGAAACAGAGGGGCATCTTTTCCTTTTAATATGTGTTATCATTTTTCAATATCTTTCCTTACCCTGAGTCTGAGACTTGCAGTCCACCAGATCGGAAACTGTTGAGTACTCAAAGATCACTGGCCTCAAAGACAGTATGAAGCTGACGCCCTTCATTGGTCCATTAAGCCCCGAGACTCGTATTTTAGTAGGTATATGTTTTCTTTTGAAAATCTAGCAGATATGCAAAGACTAAAAGCTTTACTGTGGTTCTGTGATTCTGTGATTATACCTGCTGAAAGCATGAGGAATGTACAGTATTATTGAACACCATTGTTATTGCAGTGGTTCATAAAAGGAAGAGGACACTCCCCACAGAGTCCATGTCTAGAATTTTTCAGTCCAAAACTCTGTACTCTTTACATGCATATAAAATTTTCTCTCGATGAAATGGTCAGTACAGTACAAATGAAATTAACCTAAGTGGGAGACTAGGAAACAGATCAAAGCATGTGACACAAAATTAGAACAAAAATGCACATTCACACACACACACACAAAAACACACTAAGATTTGAAAAGAAATGGCTACAGCCAAAAGTATCCAGCTTCCGCTAAGCCTGACAACTTAAAGACTTTCTGTCTTACCTGCATCTGCAAAGCATGTTTCACATCAATATGAGTGGTTCTGTGGTATTTCTCCAAAGAGTCTGTTCTTTGCAGAGCAATCTCCTCTACCATGCACAGAGACAGAAGATTAAAAAGAATAGGAGAGATCAGAAGATTCCTCTACAAAGGGATACAAACTATCCACACTGACATCTTAAGTTAAATTCACGTATATTCTGTGGCAAAAGTTATGGAAAATATACCTTTGAATGAGTAAAAAGTTTATTTATCTTCCCAACTAACGGATAGAAACACATTCATTTTACTTGTATGTGCATATCAGAATGCACAGGATATACCTTACACTGGTTTCTACTGTAACCTATAAATAATGCTTTATCTACAAAATTCACTATAAGCTTGGAAATTAATTTTAAAATATAGAAAAAATAATGGAGGAGATTGCTGTGTTGAGGAACAAAATCCAAAAGGCAAATGAAATTTTGGTATTTTGAGAACTTATGGTTGACATTCATGGGAAACAAGATTTACCAGAATTAGTAATTTACTGTGCGTATTTTTTTCCATTGGAGGTAATATGGCCAAACAAAATGGCTTAGGCTTCATTGGGGCCCCTGTTGTACTAAAATTTGCAGTCACTGCTTATGAACATATTTAAGAATGTGTTTGGCTTCCAGCATGGTTAATCTTATTACTTTCAATGGAACTATTCACATAGTTCAATTAGGCTTGCTGAATGAAAGTATGTTTACACAAAGTAATAGGAAAGAAAATCAGTGCCTTCCAGAGCATCAATTGTTCACAAAACAGACTCATTAAATTAGTATTTTGCTGATACTGCTTTTGCAATTGGCTGATCTTAAAGAGCCATGCAGCAATCTACCCACCAGTGCTTAAAGCTACCTATCATCATTTTTTTATTTTTTATTTTTTTATTTGCAAAAGAACACTTTTTGCTCAGTTACACTATGACTGGATTCCCAGCATATAAACTGTTTCTCACGTTGGCTTCTTTCATGTAGAGGAATTAGCTCTCTCATGTTTTGTGTGCATTAGAAAACATTCTGCAGTGACACAGGACACCTTTTTCAGGAAAGACAGTATTTACTAACTACTTAGAATACAAAGTCTCAAGGTCCCTAGTTTGGGATAGGTAAGCAAACAGTGTACCATAGCATATGGTATCTGGAAACATTGTTCTCTTCCAATCAAATCAACTCCAGAAGAACAGGCTGAAATGCAGAGTTTTTCTGTGTTCTGCAACCCTTAAGAGAAAATGCTCACCCAGTCATGGTATGCCTGTTGTATGGCCATGGTAACACTGCTCTGCTTGGAATCTGCTCATCAGCTTCAGTTTCTTGGAAGTTCGTTTGGAATCACCTTTCTGACAAACAGCTTGAAAGAAATAACTACCTTTGGTCCTATTAAGACACAAAGCAAAAATAAATGAGGAACAGTATAAGTTACATTTTACATAAAAAATAATGCAGGGATTGACTGCTTCCTCTACAGCTGTCATCCCCTCTTCAGTAATTTCTATTTCTTTGAGAGTATTATAGTGAAATTCTGTCCTTCTGAAATTAATGGCACTTTAAAGGAGTGAAGACTTAACACAGTCATTCCCTCCACCCCCACAGACTGCCTGGCCATGCATGTTACAGAATGAAAAGTCTGGAACACGCGTTTTTCGCACTGACATGCCAGGATCCACCAGCACAACTGTGTTGTCACCTCCAGCTAGGCTTCAACCCATCCCCTCCAAAATTAGAAAAGCAGATTTTGTTCTGATTTGGGTTAGAAAACATGCTATTCCAAAAATGGCAAAAACAGTGTCTTTACATTGCTCATCTCAGATGTCTGACTTCTGTATGTCTTGAGTCACAGTTTAGAGTTTATCTGGGCCGAGATACCCCACTTCCTTTTAAGATATTTTTCCTCATCTTCAGACAGTCTGGGATCTTATACTGCAGTCAGAAATGCCAGAACATAGCTAGAAATTTCTTCAACATCACAATGAGATTCCTGTATGTTACTGTCCATCTTTAAGACAAGAAAGATTGCATTCTCATACAGGAATTAGTAGAAGGCGTGTAAATTAATTTACCTACAATATAATGTGAAAGTGTATTTTGGGGTATGCACAGAACATGCAGATATCCAAGATTTCACCACAGCGTACCGAAATATCTAATTTTTCATCATGAAAGGAATAATAGAAATCCACTTAGCCAAATTCTTCCTTAAGTTCAGATTGAATTCCAAGAGAAAAATATTGATGTTGTGCTTTAAGTTTAAAGACTGCTTCCCAAGGAACTAGAAGATTCACCTAAAAAATTAAAGTGGACAACAAGCAATGAAAATATCCATATATTTTTTTTAAATATCTAATTTCTAGCAACTAGTTTACATGGATGCTGCAATATTAATAACCCAGTCTTGCAAATACCATTGAACCATGTTCCACACTGCTTTGCAACACTTCTGCTTCAACAACCTTGTCTATATAAACTAATGTTGAAATGGGAGCTCACAAAAAAAACTCTTTTAAAGTAGTTTGTGATTAGCTTTTGTTTTCGGCTTTACAAACAACTACAATAGCAGATGGAAGATTACTAAAGAGTAGAAAAGAATGAATTTTCCATGTCATTATCTTTCAGAGATGAGAAGTAAAAAACAACACCTATTCCATTACATGTCTGGCACAAGGGGCTCCTGTCTTTGGGCCAGATGTGATCTGCTTTTTAAAGAAAAGTGGAAATTTAATTAGTACATACTGTGGAGAGACTGACCTTACATTCATGTGAGTTTTCATTAAAGTTGCTATATAAAGCAATTGATACGTTGCAGGCTGCAGCTGTCAGCTTCAAGAGCTACTTTTGAAAGCCCTAAAAAAGAATTAATTGCACAGTAATGTTTGCAGCACTATGATTAGCGCAGCTTGCAGTTCCACTGCAAAAATAACCATTTAATTACCAGCAGGCAAAAGAGGCAGTTCACACAGACTCTGGGTCAAATTCTACAAAGTGTTAAGTACCCACCATTCCTATTAATTTTGGAGAATCTTGCCAGAATTTATCACCTCCTAGGATCTTACCCAGTAAAAGTAATTAACAAACTGCAAATACTTTCTCCTGAAGTTTCAGATACTCAGCCATACCTGTGGTGGGGCACTTTGACTAGGTCATTTCATTAAAAAAAAAATTAAAAATTGTGTACTTTAAAAAAAAAAAAAAGTTTACTTTTTAAAAGTAAAATGATTAAAAAAAAATGTTTACCTGCAGACTAGAGTCTGCAGGTCTCTAGTTACAAATGCACTATTATTTTTCAGCAATGACACTGACATATATGTTGTTTATGTCCTTCATTATGCAAAATGACTCAAGAGGATTTAAAAAAAAAAAGAACTGTGTACAGAGCATTTGCCAGTTCATCTCCTGTTACAATTAAATTCATAGCTTTAAGAATAGAGAACTATTTCTTGATCTGACAGGTAGCAGAACAAGCACCTGTATTTTAGGTGTTGTCTGTCATGTTTTATCTGAGGTAGACATTTACATACTTCAACAATGCCAAGAACAAAAGCTTCCAAATTCACATAGAAAATGGAAGCTTTCATTAATCACTGATTAACTAGGAAACAATCCAGAATAGCAGCTTGCTCTAAGAGCTTGATACCAACTGAACATCCCTCAATAGACCTCTAATATATCTGACAACATTGTGTACTTCCATTAAAAAATTCAGAAGCAGAAACTAAAAAAAAAAAAAGAGATTGCAATAATGAATAATTATTTGCTATTACTGCCTATGAGTTAATATACTAATGGATCTCTGCTCATTCCACACTTGTAAGCTAACTGATTGTTAATGCATGTTTTTATGTGGTAACATTACTCAAACTCCAGAACACAACATTATTCTGAGCAAGCAGGCTCTGATACTTTGCTCAGTAAAAATACTGAAGTGTAGAATAAATGCTACCTCATTGTTTTGTTAGGTCAGAGGTTGGACTCGATGATCTTGAGGTCCCTTCCAACCTAGACAATTCTGTGATTCTGTGAACACTGCAGTTCTAGTGAAAGCTGTAGTAAAAGCTGCTCTCTTGAACACTGAATTTCTAAATTAGTATGTATACTGTAATTGAATGCAGAAACATGAAAAGAAAAAAAAACAAACAAAAACAAAAACAAAAACCATGCAACTAGATTAATTTATTTTATTCCCCACACAAAAAGTCTCACAAGAGATGGAATAATCACTATTGTCACTGTAAGTCCTTTAGCCTCATGTATAGTGGTCCAGAGTAGTGGCAGATGAGCACAACTCCAGTATATAAGACTGTCTGTACAGGCACAACTGGTATGTACCTTTTACTAGATGCAAAGTGATATTCACCTCTTGAGCAGGTCTGTGGCTTCATTCTAATCCAAAGCCTCTTGGACAAACTAAACCACTACCATTGAAAAAGGTTTACAACACCAGCACCAATACTCTCAACACCAGCACTTCACTACTGCCTATTGGTAGCTATGAGCACAAAATGTTAATCTAAAGTTTACCTTCAACCAGAATAGCCTTCAGTATTATCCTTGAAGAACTCTTTTTGTTAACTCAGCTGTCTCCTTTCCATATCCATAAACCAACAGCTGCTTGCACCTCTATGTGCTAGCATATTTTTCTGTACTACATTCTTCTGCACTGCTACTTCACACTCTTCACTTGCATCTACCCAAGTAATAATCGTCAACTACCTGAAGTACAAAACAAACAAAACTGTAGCAGCATTCATGTCTCGCAGACCAATTATAAAAAATATCTCCAAGTAGACACCAATCCAACCAGTATGGCTAGTTTGGCTGATGGATCCAGGTCTGGATTAATGACGATGAGAAACACCTTACAAAGTTTGCACAGAAGTTCTATAAAACAAAGAAAGAATGAGTAAATACAAGCTTATCTGGTACAGCCTATAGCAGGAATTCTAGGGACATTATTTCACTCAGGTGGTAATTTTCACCATTAAAAATGGGTAAAATATATTTGCAAATCACTTTGATTCTGATTATAATGTGGATTATCTCTTGATGTAAAAAAAAGATATGTACACACACACATATCTATATTAATAAAGTTTTCCATATGTGGAGTTTGTGTATCACTCTGCAGGAATAGTTAGATATGAATTGTTGCTTAACTCTTTCCCTAGAACAGACTAGTAGTCTGGAAAAGGAAAGACTAGAGTCCTGTCTTCATCTTCCCATTGCATGGCCTAGTACAGACATGTCCTAATTTCCTGATGTTACAGTCCAAGAATGAATGGGTCATATAGGGAGCCAGGAATGGCTCTGCAGAGAACATGCAGTTTGTCCAGCAGAACTGCTGTTAGTACAGCTTGTGCATCACACACACCTTGTGCTTTAGTTCAAGCCTCACAGGGCAATCCAGCCTATAAAATAGGGAGGAAAACCAACTTCTTCTCCAGTGAGCAGCAAAAATTATTCCAACTGCCAGCAAAATAAACCAGTAAGTTTTTCAGCCTTGCTGCACTTTCCTAATGAAATTACAGCCAGCTCTGCAGGGGCAACTTTGTTCTTCAAAGCTTTTTAGAAATATTGAAAAATCTTTATATTCCTCCTGTGGGCAGGAAAGTATTAGTATCTGCCAATTAAAACCATTACAGAAATAAAGATGCAGAGAAGCTTAAGAGCACAGTTCAGATACTGTGAGTGAAAAAGACAGCCCATGCATTCCTGAGCTACAGAACATTTTGTTTCATTCTAACTTCTGCTTTTTTCTTTGCTTTGCTAAGAGCCAGTGCATCTGGTATAAAGACAGGGTTCTCTTCATCTCTTCCCAGTGAAGTCAATGGTAATAAATAGGTAGGGAGATAAAACAAAAGGCTCTAAGCAGCAGCTGGAGCATCAGCGCCGTTTTGCCCATTTTTAAAATTCACAGTCACTTATTTTTATAGTTATTACAATAATGATGATAGGCAACATAAAGATACAATATTAAACTATTTCCTCAGCATTTCTACTCAGTCATTTGTGGGCTTTATGTCTCAAGCCAGAGACTCTAAAATAACATTCTCCTCTCTGGTCTCTCCATTTTCCTTCTCTGCATGTTTATTTTAAGAATGAAGGTACATTTGAGTACCTATATTACACACGTCATCAGCCATCAGAATGATAAACTTTAAAAAAACAGAAGCCAGGATGCTTCAACAATCTGCAAGTCAAAATTATAACTTAGACTTCAGTACTTATCACTCTTATTGTACCTTAAGCGTTGCATCTACACTAATCAGAATATGGATGGTCTCCCGAGTTTTGCAGCATGATAATGACCAGAAGTAACAGCATTAATTGGTGACCCTCTACTTTAACTACCTGGTAAATTGACTGATTAATTGATTATTGTC